AAACCCGCCCCTAATCTGGGACAGTGGTGTCACAATACAACATCAGATCAAACTATAACAATCGGAACGATAAAAACACACACAAAATAAAACAAACACAAAAAAAAAACCACACAAAATACAAAAGACACAAAATACAGATCTGAGAGTATACAAAAAATGCACGGTTTATTTATTTTTGATCGTAAATCGTACATATATTCTGGACATTGCGAATATGCATTGACTGTGAGAGCTAAGATTCTTCTACACCGGGCTCGTCATCAACAGGATCTTGTCAAGGTTTGTGAAACAAGCAATGACAGACTTTCAAATAAATACTGCGTAACCAGACTTGCAAAGGCTACTCCACTGCGACGACTCACACCATATGCCGATGCAATACGTAGCTCTTTTAAAGACCATTTAAACTTTATCTTGATGAATCAGAACGCCCATTTCCTAAACGTACGAATTATCATCGTAGTGAATATATAACCTTCCAACCAGTCGACATTTAAGTTTACCTGATCACACTAAGGCAAATCTCAACTTCAACTAACTATTCTTAATATTGATCACGATGACGAGATAATCTTTCGGAAAAGATTTTGATTGATTGATTGAATTGATTGATACTTTCTTAACGTCCAGTGGCAGTTATTTCATGAATATTCAGGACGTGAACATAAAAAACCCAGTAATACAATAGGTAGGTTCTGAAAAGTAGTCCGACCAGGATCAAGGTTGAGCAATTTGGAAATGGTCAGTGGAATGTCGGACATTTTGCATTGCAGCAGACAACCTACAGACCCATAAGACAGTTGTTGCAATGGTTCTTTAATGTGCATAGATCATGACATTTTCTCTATACATCCTGCATAGCCAAACGAACATCCCAGTTTAAATAATTTTAGCAAGTTTTAACTACTAGACCGGTAGAAGTCTAGGTAATCATATTTCTTTACCCCAGTCAACACACAGGGTTTGGGGGATTTACCGCAAGCGGGTTAAGTTTGCAACAGATTAGACTGATGAACAGAGGTTATTCATATTGCGTAGTGCAATCTGCAGATGTTGAATGTCTTACTAAGTAATACATAATCACGGGTTGTATATATACACAGACAAGACCGATTGTCCTTGGTTAATAGAAACTAAAATAACAGTCATATATACAAGTGGGAAGTTTTGTAAGTGCACGTTCCTATCAGGACTATAACAGTTTATCGCTTTTTGCTTCAATGTTGATTGTTTGGTTGATTGATTGATTGTTCGTTCCTTAACGTCATGTAGTTAACATTAACATTAATGTTCATATACATATTCAGGACCAGAAAAAAACTATTTATTAATACAAAAGTAAGTTCTGCAAAGTGGTACTAGTAACGTTGGGGAGTTGTCAACTTAAAAAGGGATTAAACAAAAAAGTTCTCAAACATGTTTTTTACTACTTATATTTTTGCATTGCACAAGGTCATGAGTTTCTCAAACTGCTAATGACGTCTTTACACTAAATCCGTTGTATGTGTACTGATTAATACTTAAGTCTGGGAGAACATGATTTATTTATTAGTTTTAATTGGCTTTAAACGATAGCTTTCAGTAACATAAAGTACTCATATGTCGGTGGTTTGTGTCTATTGTGTTTTTACTTTAATTTTTTTTTGTGATTCGTGACCATTTGCAACTGATTTTCACTGTTTGTTCTTATGTTGTGCTGGTACACCGCTATCCCAGGTAAGGGGGAGGGTCTAGCGCTCACACAAATGCTTAACCCGCTGCATTCTTTATATGCATGTCCCACGTTAGGAGCCTATTATTCAGTGTTTGTCATATTTGTTTTTTCATGAATTAAATTGTTATAAATTAGGCCTTTAGTTTTTTCGTTTGAATTACTTCGTATTTGTCATGTCGAGATCTTTTAGAGCTTACAATATAGTATTGGTATTGTTTTTTCCTCGCATTGTTGAAGGCCGTACGGTGACGAATAATTGCTTATATCCATGTCATATGAACTCTGGTGGATAGTTGGTTCATTGGTTATGATACTATACGTCTCCTTATTGTTATGAGTTCATTAGAGGGACGTAAAGATTCTATATTGTATATAGCATAAAATAACCACAGGGACACAAACACATTATAATCTAAGTTCAGTTTTCTTTTGACTATCGATTTCCTGTTCAACTTATATAAAAGTAGAATTAATATTATCTGTATGCATGCTCTTAAATCTTAATGGTTAAATGTGTTAAACGGAGAAAACTCCATAAGTCAGTTTCACTTGTGCCTTATCCAATCTGTATTTGAGAAAATAAAATACTCTTAAACTGAACCGGGACGCAAGGAAGAGGGATTTGGACTTTCACTGAATATAAAGGACCGTCAATAAAAAAAGACTACTCGAGCTGTCTATGAAAAGAAAAATCGGATCGTGTATGGAGACAAATCACACCGTCTACATAGACAACTTGGACCGTCCACCAGAACATTGCTGGTGTACTATTTGATCTGGAACAGCCTATGGGGACAATATATACTTTTTTTATTTCAATTTTGTGTTGCTGTACACTTTTATATCTATATTTCTCTTAAACCAATAAACGAATCTGCAAGGATACAATTCTGAACTGTGTCTTTTTAGTTGCTGTTTTCTTCAGGATACGAATACAAATACGAATACTTTATTAAATCCAATTAAAGGGCCCGTTTCCGAGCATATGCATAAATATATGAAGTATTATTTATACAGTAATTTTAAGATATATTACATTGAAAATAAAAGAATATAACATTTTCAGACTTAATGGACATTAACCAAATAAACTGTTCGTAATTTAAAAAAAAGAAGAGAAATTTAACATTGAATACATGCTTCCAAAGAATAAAATTACTTTCAGTGCATTCCATTAAAAAATGAAACTCGTCTCCAACCTGCATATTTGTACACTACCCATAAAATCTTTTATCTTTTTCGATTCTTTTAGATCGACCTTTCTCAATAGCTGATCAATGAGCACTAATTCTAAACTGAGTTATACTTTCAGATTCAGGATGATTAGTTATAGATATTTCATATCTTTTGGATAGTTTTGCGGTGTTTCGTAAATTATACCATAGTTTTTTTGTTGAAACCCCTCAAGCTATGGTATAATTTACGAAACACCGCAAAACTATCCAAAAAATATGGAATATCTGTTTAACCTATCGCATCTTTTGCTGTTCTGGATATGGACGCAAGAGACCCCAATTTAAAAGTTGAACTACAAAGGGTTAGTTTTTTTTGTTTTATCAAAATGTTCGAATGTTTTAATTTTTTAATATTCATTTATAATTCTGAGGAAATTAATTTCACAAGAATCTTTTTGAGGGTTTGGATGAATCATTCCACATTTTAATTTGTACCTGAAGCCCAAGTCGTACATTAATTAAAAGGGATTTCAAAATGTTCATGATTAAAATCACATGTTGACTAGCAATAATTTACACAAAATTTGATGCTTCATTTAGAAAAACCAGACGCTATCTAATTTTAACATTTCAACATTATTGTAATTACTTGAGCAACCTCGTTAAAGTCTAGATGTCAGCAATGTATAACAAATCGGGTGCGGATCCAGGATACAGAAAGGGGGATCTAGCAAGCCAACATTTGGAGTAATACAATGAATAAGTATATGCATTTACCATATATGAAGCTCCTTAAAAGGGGCTTGCTACCCGTCCCCTCCCCCATAAAAGCCACCTCGGCAATTTTCAAACCTATACATGTAGCTGTACAGTGGAGCCTATGGAATACAATCCAAGTATAAATCTCAATAACCGAAAATCAACTTATATTTTCAAGTATAATATATACACATTTATACACATATAATATATACACATTTATACACAAGTATAATATATACACATTTATACATATATTTTTTCAAAACTTTATTTGTTTGTTTATTTGTTCTAGGAGCGATTTTTTTCATTTAAAAATATAGGTCAACAGAGTTGGTGTACGTGGGTTCGATTCCCATCCTAGGCATTCATTTATATCGGCTGGTGCAAAGCGGGCAGTTAAGCTGAGTGGCCCCGCACTGACTCTGTTGTTCAAATGTCAAAGAATTCAGGCAGCCAGGTCTTGCTATCTTTCTTTTTCTCGAAGACCATTTACAACGAAACCATGGTATAATTGTGAAAATTATACCATAGATATCTATGGTATAATTTTCGGTTATTGAGATTTATACTCGGATTGCATTCCCATAGGTTCCATTGTACAGCTATAGGTTAATGGACAGATAATTTATTGTCACTTATGGACGTATACATAAGCATCCTCATTCTGCAGCTGCTCCTTATTTGAGAATGCATATGCATGGCAGTACTTCCGTAACAGAAATTTGACAGAAGTTTCGCCGATAAATGCCATTGTCCACTTCCACAGTGGTCACTGGTAATATATATACAGAGAGAGCTTTCTCTCTATATATATATACATTATCAGTAACCGCTGCATGTGGATAGTAAACCAGGAATTGATAGTAGATAGTAAACACAGGCCATTTCTAGTATATTTGTGTAAATATATTACAGAAAAATTCGAAAATAATAAAAATTAAAAGAAAATAAAAAGATTACGGATTTCAGAAAAAAGAGAGAGGGCTAAAAAAAATGTCCTGTCCCCAAGTAACATTTTGGCACACTTTTTATCTGTATACAAACTATGTCTAAGGCAACACAAATTAAGGACTCTGTTTTTCATCGCCCTCTGAGATCGAGTTGTTCTGAGCTGAATTAAATTGTATGGGCGAGGTGGTTATATTTTTGAACTTTGCTTGTAGACATAATCTTGTTTATTTGTAATTATCGTTGTTTTGTTTTGACGTACCTAATTGTTGGATAATTTTTAATTCCGTTGTGAAACTTCAGATTTAAGTAGCTTATGTGCAATGTTGTTTACAAACATATTTGTTTGAATTATTGAACTTTTAATTTAAAGGAGTAAAAACTAATCGACAACTCTAATCACCAAAATAAACACTTTAATGTGTGATTCATATCAGTTTTATAGCCACATATACCAACCAAAGTGATAAAAGTACCAAAAGTTTTAATATATGTTGCTAAAACAAGACGGACAAATTGACAAGTCATTCAAAAATTTATTACAGGTAGAATATATTTTACTAAATAAATATCATTATCATAAGATATGAAATGCATCAACTTAAATCATGGTTGAACAGACACTTCTCAGTTTTGAGATTTAAAAAAGCTAGATAAGACAAATTTCACAAAAACCTGATGAATGCAATGAAACTTTTATTATATTTATGTTTTACTTGGTCAGACCTTTCGTACATAAAACAGTCCTTGTACAGAAATATAGTGCCATATATGTCTATTTCTTGAATGTTGTTTCACATTTCATTGAAAAAATACCTTTGCTTTAAACTTAGTAGTTCTCTGGTGCTGTTGATTGTGAAATTTATTCCGGCTTGTGTTTTTGAGAGTTAAAAACTTCATAAAAACTATCTCCGTATACTTAATTAGCAAGAGTTATCTCTTTTTATATCTATTTATATTAGAAGCGAATCTTATATATATACAATGTACATTCTACATTCTTCATAAAATACAGATATCCGATCTATATATCATGGCCGTAATGGCACCCATTTCAAAGACTGAAAACTGAAATAAATATTCAAAATTCTAATAAATCAAATAAAAAATCTGATAATAAAAACAATACAGAAAAATAAAAGTTAAGAATATCGCTACAATCAGAGACATATAATACATTGTATTGTATTATATGTTTCTGCTACGATGTCTAAAATCATATTGTAAGAATTATGAGCCAAGGTTTACCAACTATTTCCAGACGAAGCACTGCTGCGCGTCGTCAGATTTCCCATGTCCCGATTTAGATATTTGTCAATTGCATTTATCCCAAGACGGCACACCTCTATCGGTGGACGAACAAGTGGATTACCTTCCAGTAACGAGGAAATATATCTCCAGTCCCAGTCAATGTTCCTCAGCTGACCAAAGTCTTTAGGGAGAGATTGTAACAGATTATTCCCAAGCCACAGACAGCGCAGCTCGGTCATTTTACAGATACTGTCGGGGAGTGTTCTCAAGCGGTTAAAGCACAGAAGCAATGTGTGAAGATTTTTCATGTTTGAAATCTGATGAGGAAGTTCTTCTAGCAAATTATCACACATATCTAGAAATTCTAAATTTTCAAGATCACAAAGCTCGATTGGGAAGTCTTCAAATTCGTTGTTAGATAAATGAAGACTTTTAAGGTTTGTTAGATTTTTAAATCCATTTGGTAAGCTTGATAAATGGTTATTACTCAGAGCAAGTCTCTCCAAACTGACCAATAATGTTACTTCTGATGCCAATGTTTGCATTTCATTGGTATCCAGAATGAGCACTTTCAGGTTGATCAGTTTTCCGATTGCCGGAGGAAGTTTTGGAAGTTTAAAATCAAGACATGCCTCTCGCTCTGGACTAAGTTCCAAAACTTCTAATTCCAAAATATTGAATATAGATCTCGGCAACTCGTTTAGATCTCTTCCTCTTATTTTCAATTTTTTCAGTCCGTAATAAATTGGATCCTCTGTTTCTATAAGCCTTCTGAGCGATTTAGCATCACTGAGATTACGTGGTGTACAAATATAAGCCATATTGAAGACTGATTAAAAATTAATGTTCCTTTAATATAGGTTTTTCCTCTCCGTACCAACTCCAATCAATATAAATTCTACAAGACAAAAAGATTTAAATAAAAATATGAATTTGTTTTATTGAATTTGATTAAATATAAACGCCCCGTAGAGAAATATTTGTATTTTAACCAAGACATGCTTTAAAATCAATATCATTATTTACCTCCTGTAATTTGAGCTGCTTTCTACCTGCCTTCCTACACCTGTATCTAGCTTCCCAGGTGTGTAAAGTCTAATTTAAAGTTCCGTCATTCCTCCGTAGACATGTTACGTTTTAAATCCGTTCTAACCATTAACTTTTGTAAACGTATCAATTCTTTTGTTAATTCTTTTTATGAAACCGAATGTTTACGTTGATCGACGAATTAAACGGTGTTGAAATTTGTGATGTAAAATCGTACTTAAAATTGCTTTGATCTTGTGTTGCAATAGGTTTCAATATTAGTAAGGACTAGAACTATATCCATAAAATTTGTTTTGATATTTGTTTTTCAACAAAAAGTACATGTATCAAAAGCCCTAAAATAGTAAAAATATTTAAATCATTCTTCAATCAGGAAAATAAAAAGAAAACAACAAAAACAAAAATAGAACAATAAAAGAAGCATAACAAACTTTGACATACTATGAATAGTCAATTACATAGAATACTAATAGATTTACATATTCCTTGACTTGAAGGACGTACTTTAACCTATAACGGTTTACTTTTACAAATTGTGACTTGGATGGGGAGTTGTCTCATTGACACCAGGCATGGGGCGAATTACATTGCAATGTAATGCATTATATTACAATTACTTTGTCAAAACCATGCATTAAATTACAATTACAATTACATGTTTTTATCAAAGTAATGCATTAAATTACAATTACTTTTGCAAAGTAATGCATTGAATTACACATTACGTTTATAAATTTTATTATCAAGTGAAAAGAAAAATCAAACATTTTGAAAAACAACACGAAGTCACAATATATTCTAGCATATGCAGTAACTGTTCCATGTCTTGAATTTAAGTATACATGTAAAAAGTCTATTCAATACGATTATTGCATTTAAACATCATAAGGATTTCGAAGGTTTCATGTAGAATGATAGTGACAAAATGGTGAAAAGATTGATTAAAAAACAAACTAATTGGTGTTTTATAACAATGTTCAATTACCTGTTATTTAATCATGTGATCTTTTGACAACAATGGAACACTTTTACAGTAATGCTTATCAAATATCAATCTTTTTATGTAATGTATAAAATAAAATGAAAAAAACAAAAAAGAACTCAATCTGATATACAGTGTTGTGTTATTCATTTAGAATTGTAATTTGGTCATTCTAGTAATTATACCACTTTATTTTTTTCTATTCAAGTTCTACCTGGGGCAAGGCTTAATCTCCGAATTCCCTCTAGTGATTTATGTAAAGTGTAAAAAATAAATAGAAAATAAAAAAATCAATATTCAAATGATTATGTTCTTAGTTAATAAAAAAATCTTAAATTCTGCTCTAGCTTAATCTCCAACAATCTGTTAAAGATATATAGTATGTGCAAAAATTAATGCCATGAAATGCAATGTAATGCATGAAATTACACAACTTTTTGCTAAAGTAATGCATTAAATTACAATTACATGTAATGCAAAAATTGCTGCATTACACATTACACGCAATTACTTGGAAAAATGTAATGCATTACCCCATGCCTGATTGGCACTCATACTTCATCTTCTTTTATCTATTGCATTGCACCTAGCAAAAAAAAAACCAATTCATTCATGAAAGTTGTTTGAATCACAAAGACAGCATTCTCCATAAATTACGAGTGTCAATAATGAAAAAGTATGGTTTGTCTTGTTCATGAATACATTAGTTAAACAGTTAAGGTAACGATGCTTCAGCTTCAAAGCTTATCTAATCCCACCACTGCTGACATTTGAAAATTAAATGTAATTATACCACATACTTAACTGCTGTTTTTTTATTTAATGAAATAACCAAAACATTCCAATGTGATATAAAAATCGATACCGTTTCAATTACTAGTAAAACTAAAGTCCGTTTATGTCGGTATTTTATTTCACATATTCATTCAAACAGTATATCTCTAACGGGAAGCTTAATACCAAAATTTATGAAAAAAGAGATGATTTTTCATTTCCTATTGTTAATTATCCATTTTTAGATGGTGACGTTCTCTTGTCACCATCTTATGGTGTTTATGTAAGAGATAAATTTGTCCTGGTAAAATATGTCCGGGTGGACACATATTACTAGTATAAAAAGTCCATGGTTACAGAATTTACTAGTATAATTAGTCCGATGTTAGTAATTTATGTCCCCAGACCAATTTTCCTAGGAATTCAAGTCCATGTCATTAATATTCCTAGGTAAAAACGTCCATGTTCTTTTTTTTATAGGAAAAATATTAATGAATCAAATCATTTACATTTAAACAATATTGGAAATTTAAATATTAAGTTTTAATATTGTTTAAGAGTTGTGTATTTATATTTTTAATAAAATTCATGTCCCCAGACTAATTTTCCTAGGAAATCATGTCCATGTCATTGTTATTCCTAGGTAAAAACGTCCATGCCCTTTATTTTAAAAGGTAAATATAAATGTTATGTTTTAATATTGTTTAAGAGTTGTGTATCAATTTTTTTAATATAATGTTTGTCTCCAGACTAATTTTCCTAGGAAATCATGTCAATGTCATTAATATTCCTAGGTAAAAACGTCCATGCCATTTATTTTAAAAGGAAAATTTTAATGAAACAAATTATTTACATGTTAACAATGGAAATTCAATTTTTATATTTTAATATTGTTTAAGAGATGCGCATTAATATTTTAATAAAATTCATGTCACCAGACTAATTTTCCTAGGAAATCATGTCCATGTCATTAATATTCCTAGGTAAAAACGTCCATTCCCTTTATTTTGAAAGTTAAATTTAAATGTTATGTTTTAATATTGTTTTAGAGTTGTGTATTAATATTTTTATAAAATTTATGTCCCCAGAATAATTTTCCTAGGACATCATGTCCATGTCATTAACATGCCTAGGTTATAACGTCCGGCAATGTCCTTTTATTTTAATAAGAAAAATTAATGAAACTTTTCAATCTTAACTAAGAAAATGTTTAAAATATAATAAAAATTACTAGAAAAACAAGTCTTAGGACAATTTTTCCTAGGAAAATAAGTGCCAGACATATTTTACTAGTTATGGACTTATTTTCCTAGGAAAATTTGTCCTGGGACTTAAATTCCTAGTAAAATAATGGTCATGGACTTGATTAACTAGGAAAAAAAGTCTGGCGGACAAATTTTACTACCGGACCAAATTTACTGTTACATTTATATAACTCAACGTGTTCGGTTCGCTCGTGTATGTAACAACGTATTTGATTTTAACGAAAGAAACCTCTGTATTACTGAAAAATTATCACACCAGGGTTTTCGATATCACAAACTAGTCAAAACATTTACTAAATTGTATCATCGACACAAGGACATCATTCGTAAATATAAATCAACATGCAGACATTCAGGTATTTCACATCCAATCTTTTATGGTAATATTCTATACAAAGCATAAAAATGTCGACATTCACCTCAAAAGTTAACCAAACCTTTAAACAGACTTATTCAGAAGGGATATAGTTACGATACTGTTATCAGGACATTAAAGATGGCATATTTTGGTATTAATATTGATTCACTCATAGGGTCTTTGCATCGGAAATTAACACATTTATTCTAAAATCTAAAATTTAATGACAGAAGTCCATACAATACGTATCCGCATTCGTGTCCAAGATGTGATAAGAAACGTGCTATCATATGTTTGTTTTTGATACTTTGTTATCAGTTGTATACATTCTTGATAAAAAAACTTCAAGAAAAACTGAGATTGTCCGAGTCATATTAAAATAAAACCGTCATCAAGAAACCTCATGTTATGGCTCATTGTTTCTATGTTTTTCCCTATTGATTGCTGTCTCGCATTATCCGGACGACGACTGCCAGGCCTATCAATCTTCCTTAAAGTTTTTTTTTCCTCTAAGGCTATTTTCTCCTGGTTTATACATTTGTTTATCTATAGTGTTTTTCTTTTTTTTCAAAGCAAACATTCCATTCTCTCTATTCTATTCAAAATTACATTGACGCTGAAGTACACGGATGATAGCACACGAACACCCCAAAATGCAGGAGTGTAAGGTGCTGAACTCAACAAACAGCACCAGTATTGTACATTTATAAATAAATGTATAACGATATATTTGGTTCAGGTCATTTATGAAAACTAGAAGATGCTTTATAAATAATGTATCTGAATTTATGAAATATTCATATACATATCTAATAACTAAAGACCAAGTCGTAATGAACACCATATACTGTTATATTTACACCTTATAGTTTACATGTATTGTATTCGCAAAAACAAAGCAAAAAGTATAATACACAAGTTAATCAAACTTATAGAACGTCTTCTTATATATACAGTTTATAACAATATGTATTAAACAGGGAATTACTATATTTCATTTTTCTTCCATGGATTCAAAGCATGGAAATATATTTACCATTTGTAAACGTTATTATATTAAGGCATATTTATTTAGAGAAATAAAGAAAACGAAGAGAGAGAGAGAGAGAGAGAGAGAGAGAGAGAGAAAGAGAGAGAGAGAGAGAGAGAAAGACGATTTGAAGTGACGTGTATACATGTGTTCCTGTTTTAATTATCTGGTACATGTTGTATTTCTCTCATGCAGATCAATCGCATTATACCAGAAACCTCTGTGTTTTTTAAAATATAATCACAAATATTTAAAAATATTTTTGATCTTATTCATGTACTATTTGAATTTCTATTTCAACGCGTCAACAACCTAGATCCAAGACAAGGCCGTTCGCAACTAGATTGAAATATAAAAGAAAAGTGCTTAGGTACAATTACGTAATTTAAAACTGACAATTTCAGATTTAAAATTTGACATTGATCCTGCGGAGTGAGAGAGA